AAAAGTGTGGTGGGGGGTGTCTTATTTGTTGTGTCCGTTTCTTTTTCCTTTGTCTGTCTTCAATTTTGTCACTGACGCTTTTGCTAATGGTTGGAGTTCAGCAGAAACATTCCCAGTCACCTTCTCCCCAAATGGTCGCAGGGCTACAGAGCACTACCGACAGGAAGGCATCGCCCTCCTCTTCGTCTCCTCTTTGCACTGAACATTCGGTCACCTCTGCTGGCTGGGATCAAACAGGCACACTAACCTATATCCCCACTAGCAGCCACCGTACTCTCAGCAGCTGTGAGCAGAAGAACAAAGATGAGTCCAGTGAATGATGTTGGCTCCTGAAGACACAGGAGAAACAAAAATAACCCTGGTTTTGTTCACCAATTCATCCTTTAGCTAGCAGAGAAGCAAAATTAGTTAAAAATGAAAATGAATTGAATTGTGGATAAAAAAAGCGGGTTAAAAACAGGAAAGCAGCCCTCATTCACACACAGTGGAGACAGAATGATAGATTAGAGTTCTTTGGTAAGGAGATGGAGATAGAGAGAGATTCCCGGTGCGGTGAGGCGTTGCCCTTGCACTGCCTCTCCTCTCTGTGTCTCATTGGATTACGTCCTCCCTCTCCATCCCCCCACCCGCTTCTCTTCTCCTCCCTCCATCCCTCCCTTCCTCCCCTCATTTCTTGCCTCTTTAATTCCTTCCATACACCCTGACTCCTTCCTCCCCTCTCCTTTCTTCTTTCACTAACAGCTTCCTCTTTCTTCCTCCTCTCATCCCCCCTTTCTGTTCTCCCCTCTGCTGCCGGATTGGCTGAGGCAAGAATGCATAAACCCACGTGAAGGGAGGGGAGAGAGGTGAGGAGGAGGAGCAACAGATTTTAATTAATCTGATGGCCCCCCATCTTTTCTCACATATGATTTGAGTTGGTACGCCAGGTTTGGGTGGAGCTCGGGTTGCAACAAAATCATACACATTCGCATACAAGCACGTAGACACACTGATCTGACAGTTTATGGTGGATGCTCATTTGTGGCAAGGGACCAGGATAGAGAAAGAAAAGCAATATATCCTTTTGTTGAAACTTGGTAATGTGGTTCAATCGGCTGAGAACACAATGAAGGCAAACCACACACAACTGGAAGGATGTTCTACATTTATCTGAAAATGCATAACCCATCAAATTAATTTAAAATAGTGCATCAGTGGAATGTGGGTTAAATAAACAAAAAGCAACCAAAACTGAACATTTGCAGCTTTAATATTCCCCTACCCCATCTATCCAGATGCATGTAGATCATAAGTACAGACAGGTGACAGACTAAAGGAAAAAGCCTGAATAAATGCCCTTAAAGAAGGGTCACTGCAAACAATACAAAGTTGTTCTGAGTGGTCAGCTTTCTCTTATGATGGAGGATTTCTATCCTGATGGGAGTGGTCTCTTCTAGGATGACAGTATCCCCATCCACAGGGAATGAGGGGTCACCAGATCTCAACCCATTTCAACACCGACCAACGTGTTTGACAGTGTCTCCACCACCATCATCAAAATACCAAGTGAGGGAATATCTTTTGGAAGAATGGTGTTCATCCCTCCAGAGGAGTTGAGAGACTTGGAGAATCTCTATGCCAAGGTGCATTGGCGCTGTTCAGGTGGCACATAGTGGCCTAAGACACAGTTTTTCCTTTTATTTGTCACCTGTGTGTGACCATATATCCCACCCCTGGCCACAGATGGGTTTCAGGACAGAGTGTTTGGAGTCAGGGCCCTGAAGCTCCAGAATGCCCTGCCAGAGGAAACCCCTTTAACTCACTTCTTAAAACATACTTTTTACTTTTTTTTTTAATTTTATTTAAGTTTTCATGTAAAGCACTTTGTAATGT